CTCCCATCCACCTCAGCTCCCTCCACTCTTGCCTCTACCTCGTCCCCCACTACCTCTGCCCCTTCTTCCTCCACTGCGACGAACTCGAAGTCGAATTCTGGAGGGAAAACAGCAAGACCGTCTGCATCATCCTCCCACCTCAGTTTGATTTGAGGACGGAAGTCTGCTGACATGCTCTCACCGTCTTCCTCCACTCCTTCTTCTTGCTCGCCGAAGGTGATCCTTGTCACGTCCACTTCGGGATATGCAGCCTTCACCTTCTTTCTGCAATCCGTGAACGTGATGATGGCAGTGGGCAGCCGGTACAAGTTGACGATGCTGTCAAACGAGCTAGAACTGATGAAGTTGCTGATGTGCTCCTTCATCCCATTATGCACCAACTTCTGCATGTTCCCTTTCAGTTCCTTGAACGCCTCCATCATCAGCCTTATTTCTTGCGCCTGAGCCTCCCGCTCGCTTTCAGAGATCCTTCGTTTGCTCTCCTCAAAGACGAGCTTGGTGCTCAGGGAAGACCTCTCCTGCTCCAACTGTTTCATAGCTGGAACCACCTCGTTCAGAGACTTTTGCATCTCCCTATTCTTCTTTTCCAGCTCTTCCTTCTCCTTCTGCAGTTGGTCACACTGCCTCTGCAAGAGTGCGCGCGCCTTTACACCTTCCCTGAACTCCTGGGCTAGACCATTCACCCAGCTCGCGCTCTGCAAATCAAAGCAGAAGTTCAAAGAACCAGAAGTTCAAAGAACCAGAAGAGAAGAAACAGAATACGTAAACAGCAGCATTAATTTAACGTACCTCAAGGACGTGCTTCACCACAGAAGCTCCTCCGTACCTCAGAGCCTCCTCTCGCGCGTGGCGCTTGTCCACTTCGGGGAAGGTGTTGTTGATAAACCACCTAGCCCCCATCATGTTCTTCGCCTCGAACAGGCTGCTTTGAGACACCGCCGAGGTAACAGGGCCCTTCCCCTTACCAGGAGCTCGTACCTCAGCCCCCTCCTCCAACTGTCTGAGCTCGGGATCCAGCTCAACAGGAGGTGGCTGAGGTACGAACTCAGGCACCCCACTCCCCTCTTCCTCCACCACCTTCTGCTTCTTCTGCAGCGCCCTCCTCTCCTCCCAACCCTTCCTCTTCAGTGCTGGCACCTCTTCCTCCACCTCAGCTAGTGCTAAGGGCACTACCTCCTTCCCAGCTCTCCCCTCATCCACTTGCTTAGCTGAAGTCCTTGACTTCTTCCTTGGCTTCTTGGGGATAGCCTTCCCTCCAGCAGTATTCAGAAACTGTTCCATGTCAGCTGCAAAGGAAGAAACAAAATATTAGTCACAATTCTATGTTCTACGTTTAACACTGCAGTATATATCAAACAAACCTTCACT